ACTCACTACTATTGAGTGAACTCCAATTCATAGCAGCACTATAGAACATAGTAGAACTGTCCCTGTGAGTTTCCAAAGCTGCAGATCTTTACAGGAGCAGAAAGCCTCATCATCCTCCTTCAGAGCAGTTGGTGAGTTTGAACTGGTGACGTCACAGTTAGCAGTTCACTCTGCCACCAGGGCTTCTTTACTAGGTGCTAGTTTGGAATTTTAACATGACATTGATCTAACCTTGTGTTCACTAAAGCTTAACTAAATCCATTGCACTTCATTTTATAGCACAATTGTGTGTGCTGTGATAGACAATTTCTCTCAAAAAGTAACTTGTCTATATAGCTATTAAGTGACTTAATCAAATTTATACAATTAGTATTAGAAACTACACCTAGAACTTCAAATTCCATTATTCTCCCCCTCTCTCTCTCTTTTCACTTCTATATTTTGCTTGAAATAGAGTTCTGTTAGCTCAACTCAGTGGTCATGGAAGTGCTCTCATGAGACCTAATTGTGCACCTGTCTGATCACTAGGATAGCACTGTGAGAGTGATTTGGGCTTACCACCATGAGGATGCAGGTGAAGCTGGTCCCAAGTACCATGACTCCAATCGTGGGACCAAGAGTCTTCGGTTACTGAATCCCGAGAAGAACAATGTGCTGCCTATGGCCTTACCATACTTTGAGCTGGTAAATCAAGACGTAAGTTTTTATTTATTTATTTTTGATGATGATTGCTCTTGTTGCCAGTTTATGTTACTTCAAATCTTTATGATTGTAGAAGTGGGATTTTTGAAAATGAACTAGAAAGTTTTGCTTAAAATGTTGTGTTTGATCACATGGCAAATGAATGTGACTTTGTGTCTCCCTCCCCTTTTTATTAAGACAGGTCCCCATCCCAAACAAGGGTACAACATATTGGTGTCAAATGTTTAAGATTCCTGGGTTCCAAGAAAAGCAACAAGTAATAAAGGTATGTGATTCACTCACAGGCCAGCTTCCTTCATACAGATGGAAGAAGAATGTTTTACCTTAAAACGAACAAGAATGTTTCGTTTCTATGAAAGCTATTTAGAGAAACAAAACTTGTTTTGGATGACCTACACGCTGTCTGAAAAATCATAGGATTTAGTGGAAAAGTTTATATTGGAACTAGTATTTTGATTTTTAATCTCCCATTTTACCTGTCAAAGGTAAAATATCTTGGGCGCATTCAAATACCATTAATAATCTCTTTGGGGGAGATTTCTATAATTTGGATTTGCAGTTCTAAATAAAATATTTACATATGAATAAATTATACCCAGAAAAGTTATATTAAATACCAATATTGTGTGAGGGTTGACTGAAAGTATTGGATATCTTGATGGAAATATTGGATATACTGATGGAAAATATTGGAAATTTCATAAAATAATTGTATTATTTTGAAAATTGGGGGGGCAATCACTAGAATTCTACAGAATTGAAAAATAATTGGGTAATAAACAAGTCCACTGCTTATGGCTTAAAATTCCTTCCCACCTCTAGGTTGGGCCCCTGAACAATTTTGTATTCAGTTAGTGGGTGAAACAAGTTTTTGGAAAATTTGCAGGTCCTTAGCACTGTGCTGGAGATTGTTGGCAGTTCCACAGTAGATGAAGATAAATTATTTTACAGTGGGAATGTGGTAGACATGACCCAGATACAAGAAGAATAAAAATTAGATAGTGCTGACAAAATTTTGTAGCCTTTCAGAAAAATGGAAAGCCAGGTCAGATAATAACAATGCTTTTTGGTTGCGCCCCCAAACTATGTAGTGAAACAGTATGGATGTGATGAGGGAGCAACTTCTAGAGCCTGGAATCGAGAGGGAAATGCAGCCCACAGCTTTATTAAGCATGAGCTCTCAACCGAGTTCTTAGGTCACACTGTAGACCTCAGTTTCTTATCTACGTAAGGTGGTCAGTCCACCTTGTTCTGACTGGTCCTGATGCATTTAGGCAGAGATGGGAACATTGAGCACATTCTATCAAGGGTTGACATTTCATTTTTCTTACTGTAATTTCCCAGCTGAGCAAGCCTGCCCTTTATTTACAGAATGATTCACAACCATGTAGGTAGGGTAGGAGGGACAGGGTAAGGGCATGTTTATGGATTTAGCGCATAGTTCAAAGTGTTTGTGGGATATTTTTGTTACCAGAAGACTTGCCATCAGTGTGACAGTATGACTCATGTACCTCTGTGTAGCATGTTATTTTCTGCTTTGTGTCTGTCAAAGTGAAAATGCAAATTCTAGTCGTATAACACTTATTACAGGACGTATGTGCTTCCCTTAGGAAAACAAAAGGA